GAGTTTCGCTCTTGTTACCCAGGCTGGAGTGCAATGGTGCGATCTCGGCTCACCGCAACCTCCGCCTCCTGGGTTCAGGCAATTCTCCTGCCTCAGCCTCCTGAGTAGCTGGGATTACAGGCACGCGCCACCATGCCCAGCTAATTTTTTGTATTTTTAGTAGAGACGGGGTTTCATCATGTTGACCAGGATGGTCTAGATCTCTTGACCTCGTGATCCACCCGCCTTGGCCTCCCAAAGTGCTGGGATTACAGGCTTGAGCCACCGCGCCTGGCGCTTGTCCTAAATCTTAAGCTCAGGTCCCTGTGTTGTCTGCCACTAGCGCTCAGCTGTCAGGTTAATCTCATCAACCCAAGAGGCCAGCTGACTGATGGAGGGGGCAGCTTCCTCCCCTGACGAGCCCTTAGGGCTCTGCAGGGGTCAAGTCTGGTGCGCGCCCAGAACACAAGCACACAATGACACACACACTCTGTGGCACATGGGTTTTGCTCACACTCACAGAGACTCACATGGTCTCTGCCGTCACAGCCCCACCCATGCTGGCCCTAACAGTGGCTCCCAGTTGCATCGTGATCTGGGGGGTCAGGTGGGCCCCCTCACTCGGGTCCTGAACCCAGCCCCTCTTCTTAGTTGTGGAAGCTTGGAGGGTGCCGGTCTTTGCCCCTCCCCATCCGCCATGGAGCCTCTCTCTTCCTACTTTACCCTGTCTTGCTCCCCGCATCCCCACACTGATGGCCGAGGGTGGAGGCAGGAAAATAAGCGCAGTCATTCTCATCCCAGTCCTGGCTGCCTGGACTCAGCTTCCTATCATTGCCACAGACCCGACATGGGAGGGCGAGGGGGCCCTAGCTTGGGCTGTGGCTGAAGGAATGCAAATCAGAAATGAGGAAGACTTGACGGGCGCGGTGGCTCACGCCTGTAATCCCAGCACTTTGGGAGGCCGAGGCAGGTGGATCACGAGGTCAAGAGATCGAGACCATCCTGGTCAACATGGTGAAACCCCGTCTCTACTAAAAATACAAAAAATTAGCTGGGCATGGTGGCGCGTGCTTGTAATCCCAGCTACTCAGGAGGCTGAGGCAGGAGAATTGCCTGAGCCCAGGAGGCGGAGGTTGCGGTGAGCCGAGATCGCGCCATTGCACTCCAGCAGCCTGGGTAACAAGAGCGAAACTCAGTCTCAAAAAAAAAAAAAAAGAAAGAAATGAAGAAGACTTTGTGACTGGGAAGAAAGACCTCTCCAGCCTGGGCAACATAGTGAGACCCCAACTCTACAAAAAAATTTAAAAATTAGCCAGGTGTGGTGGTGCACACCTGTAGTCCCGGCTACAGGTGAGGCTGAGGTGGGAGGATCGCTTGAGCACAGCAGTTCGAGGCTGCAGTGATTCATGATCACATCACTGCACTCCAGGCAGGGCCACTGTGGAAGCTGTGAACCACATATTCAACGTCCAGGGAAGGGGATGGGGTGGACTTCTCTGTCCATTCTTTTTTTTTTTTCTTTTTTAAAATTTTTGATTTTTTTTTTTTTTAAAGATGGGGTTTCACCATATTGGTCAGGCTGGTTCTTGAACTTCTGACCTCAGGTGATCCGCCCGCCTCAGCCTCCCAAAGTGCTAGGATTACAGGCGTGAGCCGCCGCGCCTGGCCTCTGTCCACTCTTGACTGTACCACCTTGCTCTCCTCTTCTCACCACCAGCTTCTTTACCTGCACAGCACTCAGGCCAGACTTCATTTTCGCTGTGCGATCTGCCCATTGACACCTCCGCCCCATCTGTCTGCTTTCACCATGCGCCCCCTGGTGGGGTCTTCACTGCTGCGTGGCCCTGGCCCCCACTCCCGAGTCCTGGGTGGGAGGATCCCCCTCTGCCGTCTTACTCACGTTTAGTGCTCACCTCACTAGCTGACCCTGCTCTCCCATGGTGTTCACTCCCATTCCAACCCTGGGGGGCAATCTCCACATCCTCTTATTACTTTACCTGGCAAGCACTTTACACTTTGTTAAATGCCTCCTCACCCATTGTCTCAGATCTCCCAACAGCATGGGTGTCAGCAGGGCAGGAGAAAACTACCCATTGTACAAAGGGGGAGTCTGAGTGCCCCGGGTCTCCTGTTGTAGCACAGCTGACAGCCATCATTCCTATCCTGGTTTTTCCAGCCGACATAATGGAATCAGACAAGGGATGGACATCTGCGTCCACATCAGGGAAGCCCAGGAAAGATAAGACATCTGGGAAGCTCTACCCCGAATCTGAGGAGGACAAGGAGGCACCCACTGGCAGCAGGCACCGAGGTATGTCTCTATTTCCATGCATCCAGCTGGCATGGCCTTGGACCTGCGCACCCCACTGCACTGTCCCTGTCATGTGAGCTCATGCTTCTTGGCTCTTGTAGAAAATAAAAGACTGCAGCCCCATCCCCAGGCAAGGGGCTGGGAGAAGAAAGAGTCTGATGGGAAGGAAGGGGAGTGGATGGCTCAGGCCTCAAAGAGAGATGAACAGAGAACTCACCCAAAACCACACCAAGAGTGGACCTAGGGCCACAGCCCCACCCATGGAGATGACAGAGAACCCTGAGGGACAGAGAGGCAGGGAGACAGACACAAAGACACAGAGATAGTGGCACATAGAGAGAGACAGGGAGAGACAGAAAGGGAGGGAGAGACAGTCACAGAGACAGAGGGGACCAGGAGGCACACCCTGAAGTCTGGGGCTCAGTGTGTCCGAGGAGGCACATGGGGACACACAGTGGGGAGGGCCACAGAAATAGAGCAGGAGAGGAGGGCAGTGGCAGAGGGTGGGGCCAGAGGCAGTGGGACAAGGAGGGAAGGCGATGAGGAGAGGCAGACACAGAGCCCAGGCTTTGGCCACAGGGCCGGTTTGAACCGGCCGGGTGGGCAGCGGATTCCAGATGGGCCACATCTGGGAGGCTGTGGTCACCCTGTGTCTCCCTGGGGACCAGAGGGAATTGTGGGCCTGGCTGGGTGGGGCTGGGAATATGGCGCCCAGGACAGAGAGCCTTTCACCAAGCCAGGGTGGGTCCAGCCATCAAGGCAGCCTTCCAGGGTGGCTGGAGAGTCCTGTGGTTGGAGCCCTACAGAGGGGGAGAAGGGGGCTGCAAGCTGGGAGTGGAATGTGGAAGATCCAGAGGCTAGGGACCCTCCAAGGTCACTTAGCCTCCCTGCAGTGAGGCTGGGGCTCCAAAGTGGGTTGTCACCCTGCTTTGAATGCCACCATGAGCACTTAGATTTGGGGAATCATATCTCCTCCCCAGCAGTGGCCATGCGAGACTCACAGCAGGTACTCAGGGTGGGCACTGGGTGGTGGAAGCATGGGCCAATGTGGTTAATCCCAACTTCCCAATAAGGAAATGGAAATAGAAAGACTGGGACACCTGCGTGGGGTCAGCAGCTCTTTGGAGTCCAGCTGGCACTAGAAACCAGGCCTCCTGCCTCCTGTCCATGGTCCCAGGAGAGGGGCACACAGGGAGCCTCCCAGCTGAGGGAGTGTTAGTCTGGGTACTTGCCCTTCTTCAGGGACACCAGGAAGGTGCTTCCGAGAGCAGTTGAAGAGGGCAGGGCCCTGTGCCGAATGACCTCAGCAAGTCGCCTACCTCTCTTGGCCTCTGGCAGCCTATCTGGAAAATGGGCCACATGGATGCAGGGCACAGAAATATGGTTTCTCCAGAATGCTCCAAAGTCTCAATTTTCCTGTCCTGGGGCACACCTGTTCCTGCAGGAACCAATAACAACAGATGTGTTCATCCCTCTGGGTCACTAACCATGACCCTGACACTCCC